TTTGTTTGCCTGTATTTAATATTTCTTGACCTGCATGATCAGTAAATCATATTGCCTCTATTAAAACAAGAAACTTAACTGAAAGTTTTGAGAACGAAGCCACAAATTAACGCAAATTTTATTAAGAAAACACAAATTCTGGTTTCTATACTTACTACTTACTTCTTGAATTCCAATAACAATATATTTTTGAAGCAGTTAGTAAACAAACTAGGTTGACGGAAATATGGTCATTATTTATATGCTTCAGTGTAAGTATTCCAATGATTGCTGTTTAGGGACCTACTGATTCAGTAATTCACTAATTTATATGTTAAGATTTATAATTATGTACAAAAAATCATTTTCTTCATAGGCGTCGCAATTAAATTGTTAAAATAAGTAAAATAATAGAAATTTAATATTAGCTGGTTATACAAAGTGATTCACAACTTATCCAAAAAAATTTGGAAATAGATGCGCCATGAGAAATGGAGTCAATATTGTAAAAAAAAAAATTGTAAAATCCTTATAGTTTCTGAGAAAAAAACTATTGAAGTTATAGCACATTAAATCACTACTTAGCTGAACAACTGTAGTCTCTAGCATCATTCACCACGTGGCCTCATCGACTCCGAATACTGAATTCGGATTTTGCAATCGTCGTTGCGATATTTACCTGTTATCTGTGGTTTTTATAATACGTTTTTAGCAGTTGGTGTCAAAAATGGGTAGTTAGTCTCAAAAATGGTTTGCGTGTACTCGGAGTTGATGGATATCGTTTTAATTTATGGTGAAGCGTTTGTGTTATGGTGAAACAAGACATCATTTGTGTTAGTTCGTAGAAAGTGAGTAAGACGGACCCAAATGTGTTTACACGTGAGTGGATACAATTTTGAACCATTGCTGTTGCAGCATCAGGTATGTCAAATGATTTTATTATTTAAAAACACAAATTAATTTTATTAATAATTAATAAAGGCAAAAGCATTTGAATTTGCCGATATAAAATAGGTGCGATAAAATTCTATTTACATATTTCTTTCATTGCGAAAGTTTTTGTCCGTTTTTATCACGCCGCCATATCGGTCTCATTGTGCGAGGTCAGGTTTTACAGTGGACCAGTTTCAAATGCCGTGCAGAAGTGTATTTTTAAATCAATTTCGAACTGATTTTTTTGATTTTTTCTTTACAAAATTGTATTTGTAAGGGTCCCCTGTACATCCAGAATTTTTTTTTGGATAAATTCTGAATCACCCTGTATATTATATCATTTGCAGCCGGTACCATCGCATCGGTATGAAAGAGTAGGCATTTTTACAAAAGATGAAAAATGTAGTAAAAATTACTTCAGCGTAAGTTGGAAATGCAATTTTATCTAGTAAAACACGTACCTAATTTTATGTTAAATTTTTGGTAGAGGAGGTAACAAATTTTGCATTTTAATTTCTTCCTATAGATAAGACGACAATGCATAGTATTTTCGACTTATTTTCGAGCATATATAGAAAAAAATGTGTGTGTGTGGTTTTGTTTGCACACAGATTTTATCATAAAACAATATAAAATATTACCTTATTACTTTTCACTCATTTATGTTAATTTTAAAGAACACGTAGCCTTTTGAAATTTGTACTACCGCCGCCGCTGGTGATAAGAAACGTTACAATTCAAGTTTACCTAACTGATATTTATCCATTCCCAAGTATCATAAGAATTATGCAAGCTGTATTAAAAAAATTTTCCGTCTGTAATTATTTTGAGTTGTAATTCTGAAATCAAAGCAATAATTTATTAACCCCCTGTTCACCCCCTAGTATTTAGATACATTTACAAACACTACATTTTTCATGAACACTCCTGGAAATAAAACCGTGTATATTTGGAAACTATAACTTTCGAAAAATGTCTACATGCCAATGATTTTTTAGGGGTTAATTTTGTATCGTAACAATTTTTTCTGTTTAAAATATTTTCGACATTAATTCGGAGCATTAAATAAAGCAAATAGAATAACAAACTAATTGAAATGAAGTAAAATATACCAGCAACACTAAACATTTTTTTTAATTGTACAGGAATAAAAACTGTTCGGTTGCTACCGCTGAGCGCAGGGGTGATTCGATCGGAGATTTTGTGGTCGTTTTAGACCTACACCGAGTAGAAGTGATCGGGCATTCCACTATTATGGGGAAAAAAATGGTAAACTTCTATATCTATGTACTAGGTACCGATTTTCTTTTTTTTTTTATTCACGCATTCGTTGTCGTGAAAAATATAAATCCACAGATGGAATTGAAAAGAACTAAAGTTCGCTTTAAAAAATTGTACTTGTGTTCTGATCTCAGTTGAAATTATCTGAATTTTTCTGGGAATACTGTCGCATTTCTATTGACTGGCTAAAATATTCTCTTTTTTACTAGAATTTAAGTACTGCATCATATGTCTGATGTGAGCTCCGCAAGTTATTTTTCAATGCTGTTGTTCTTTAATTAACAATTGTGTTGCTTTAACCTCGTGCAAACGTATTTCCCTGTTTCTCTAGTGTATGCTTTGTGTACATACCACGACGCTGTATATGTACACCGGGCTTTGAAGTCCGACGTTTTAAAGGTCGCCTTAGCCATCTTTCTCGATCTGGTCAAGACATTTGATACAGTATCACATACTATAGTGTTAAAAAAGTTGGAAAATTATGGTCTCCGTGGTCCTATTCTAGATATGTTCTGAGATTATCTGTCACATAGAATACAGAGTTAAAATAAACGACTGTCTGAGTGAACTTAAAGAAATTCTTGTTGGTGTACCACAGCGCACATATTTAGGTCGTATATTTATTCCTTGTATATACTAATAGTATCAGTTGCATTGAAAATTTCGAAGGTCACCTTATTTCGTATGCTGACGATACTGCAATCATTTATTCTGGTAATAATTGGTCGGATCTGTATAATACTGCTGAACCTGAATTTAAAAAATGCAAATGTGGCTTAACTTCAATAAATTAAGATTAAATATATATAAAAAAAATAACTTTTAGTTTAACAAGTACGGATCAGCCTAATACCGAAGTGTTAAAAATTCACAACACTGATTGTTCTAACAATAATGATTGTATGTGTCCTTATATAGGATAATTTAGAACTTATCAAAAAAATTGTACAGGGAACTCCTACAGATACAATTTTGTAAAGAAAAAATCAAAAAGGGCAGTTCAAAAATAATTTCAAAATACACTTCTACACAGCACTGGAAGCTGGTCCACTGTAAAACCTGACCTCGCACAATGCGACCGACATGGCGGCAAAGTGTGATAGAAACGGACAAAAACTTTCGTAAGGAAAGAAATAAATAGAATTTTATAGCTTATATCGGCAAATTCAACTGCTTTGACATAAGTACCTAATTTTACAAATGTTAAAAATTTTATCCACCGACGTGTAAACACAGTTGGGTCCGTCTTACTCAGTTTTAACGACCTAACAGAAATATTATCTTGCTTCACCTTAACACAAATGCTTCACCATAAATTAAAACGATATCCATCAACTCCGAGTTGCTATACACGCAAGCCATTTTTGTTACTAACTACTAAAAAACTATTGTAAACACCACTGATAACAGGTAAACACTAACGCAACGACGATTGTAAAATCGGATTTCAGTATTCGGAGTCGCTGAGGCCACGTGGCTCTCCACGCGTGTTACGAATGACGCTAGGAACTACAGTTGTCAAGCTATGTAATGGTTGAATGTACTACAACTTTAATAGTTTTTTTCTCGGAAACTATAAGGATCCTACAAAAAATTTTTTTAAGACATTGACTCCATTTCTCATGCCGCATCTATTCCCAATTTTTTTTCGGATAATTTGTGAATCACCCTGTATACAGAAACAAAATCGAAATAAGCGCCTACAAATAACAGTTAGGTATTAATAAATCTTATATTATATCTTCTACTTTTTAATTAGTGAAATAGTAACTATGTTTTTTATTAAATAATAATAGTTTCAGTGTTTATTGTGATTAAGCTAAGTTGAAGAATGTAATTGTATATTTTGCGTCTTTTCCTACAAACAGTAAAAATTTCCAGTGTTTAAATCGTTGTCTTTGATATATTGCCCTAAAAAGAATAAAAAACTAGAGTTCCAGTAAATAATTCTAATTTACAATAATTATGTATATACAGGGTGATTTATACTAGGAGGGGAAATATTAAGGATTTAGTTGAGAATCCAATTTTGAGAAAAAAAAAATATTATTTTACATAATATACTGACAGTTGCTAAATGAAAATCAGTCTCGCAAACTGTGTCTATCGCTCTTGTTTTTTAGTACAACAAAACTACTTCTATAAAAAATGAAATTAATAACAATAAGCATGTATTAGGTAACAAAGGTTTTCTATTAACAGGGAGTGTGACACTTTCAGTGGTCGTCTTCTATGAATACAAATTCTCCCATATCGTTTAAATGCCATGTAATATCTACAATTACCGAAAAACTTTCATGAGTTACTAGATGTTTCGTTTGCACTGCACAACACAATGTGGTATAACACGATCGGACTCCAAGACATGTGCAAGGATGGTTAGACCATCATTTTAATGCAAGATAGATACGCGGCCCAGTTGAACGGTCTGCTAGCAAACCAAATCTGAATCCACTAGATCACTAGATTATTACTTCTTCAAAGTAATCAAGACGTTGCTACAGTTATTAATTAATTGATTCATACTCATGGGGTTGCTTACGTTGATTAAATAATTTTATTTACATGACCTACTATTACTTTTTGAAAAATTCGAAATTTATCTTTGAAATCTGTCAACTTAACATCTGAAAAACGAAGCCCGATTTCCGTGTTTTGTCTTTCTTGCTTAAAGTTGGATTTTGAACCAAATCCTAAATTTTTGCATCATGGTATAAATTATCAATAGAAAACAAAACAACTTGCTGTTATGTTTTTTTATAATATAAATATTATTTTTACCTTTATCCTTTCAGTGGGAGGGTAAATTAGGTCTGTGTTAAAAGGGTGATGTAAGAATAAGATGCCTTCAGAACCTACAAATAGCTAATATAAGACAATGTCGAGTAGGTAATAATATTTGAAGTTTAAAACATATTAATACTTTAGGATTTTGTACAGCTTGATCAAATTCATGTTGTCCGCGAGTGTCAGTAGCAATGTTCCCATACACCGAAGCTCATTCTTTGTCTGAATCTACTACCCTACTATTAAGATCAAGATGGGTTTGGTCAGTCTGTAACGTATATTTTTACCCCAAGAAACATTCTATAATTCATTATTCCAAACGAAGAAGCTCTTAGATACATCGGTGTCCAGCTTCTCTGAATTACTATCATTATATCTTTTTTTATGTCCTCGGGACAGTGCAGCCAATCAGCTTCATATAGATCAGTGCCTACAGCAAAGCACTGAAATAAAGTAAATCGTAGAATCGCTGAATACATGTTACATTTTTTCTAGTCGTGACTATTATTGATGTTATGATCATTTGGCCATCTAGAGACAACCAAGAGTAAAAATAATTACTTCGATACCTCGTCTTGTAACCACTGTCCACCAAAGCAGGCCATTGCCAATCCACCAAACCAGCCCAAACATACCAGAAATGAGCTAACGGAGCCTCCCTAGATGATTAAGTCATTGAGGATTAGTTTATCTGTTTTTTTTTTATTAATTACTTACAGATACAATAGCAAATACACCAACTCCTATAATCGGTGCTGTGATGACCATATGTGTAAACATAAAAGTTCCAAAAGCTCCGTTCATTTTGTCTTCCAAGCTGAAGAACATTGAAATCACTTATAACAGATTTTTTTTATTACCATATTATTTACATTAAAAATATATTATTTTAGCTTATACACTGAAGTTTTTCTTTTTCACTGACATTTGATGATATAAAAATATAAAAACTTTCCAATTCAGCCTTAATATATTTTTTTTAATAATCAACATTTTTAAATTTACAACAATTAAATCATTTAGGACCGGTCCTTATTTATTCATCACGAGGTCATAAGTCTACTACAATAGATAGTACACACATCAGCCTCAACATTGAAGAATGTCATAATTAGTAATAAAAAAAGTCAAATTTAAAATAAATATCGGGCGTTTCACGTCAACGGGCACAGTGTGCTGCCCAGAATAAAAATGCATCAATATTGACGTTCGACGTGTCAAAAGCTTCGTATTTAAAAACTCTATCGAATGCCGTCTGGTGATTTTAAAAGAAAACATCATGGCGGTTCCAATATGGCGTCCGCAATCATGGAAAATTCTGTTTAATGAGCAATATTTATAGAAAAGAAACATAAAAATACTGTATTGTAGACTGAATCACCATATCTATACGGTTTTGGGGTTGCTGATTTCGAATTCAATATTCATTCAACCCCATCTGGTCACTGTTCGCCCCTAACCTTAAAAATACTTCAAATCGTTGAAATAATGCGTTTCTACTATGAGTAACAGTCTAACCACCACAATTTATGTTTTCCGGATCGCTGAAACCAATTCTGATATCAATATAACTTCAACTAGTCAGAGTTCGTGCCTAACCTCAAAAAAGTAGCGCAAATTGCTAAGATTACACTTTTCTACGTTTAGGAATGAAGTGTAACCAATATATTTTTATATTTTTGGGGTCACTGAATCGAATTCCTACATCCGTTTGAACCCAACTAGTCATTAGTCGTACCTAACCTCAAGAGCTATAATAGTGATAAAGTGCGACCACCATATTTTTATGTTTTTTTTCCAAAATAGCATGTGATATGATGAAAGGTATGTTCCATATAAAAAGAACAAATCCTTTTTAGAAGTTCTGCATAT